CGACAACGACTTCCAGATCAACGTCGTGCGCCATCAGATTACGCGGAATCTCGAGCACTTGACGCCGCTGATGGCCGACGAACTTGACAGAGGCTTCGAACGCTGGTGGGGAGGGAAAGGTGACACAGAGTGGAAGGAGGTCGCAGTATGGGATGCTTGCTTGAAGTTGATCGCTGGTGCAAGTAACGGCGCCTTTTGCGGCGCGCCGCTATGTGAGTCGCTCGTGGTGCCTGCTAGGAAGATGCGCAAGCGCTGATAGTGTCGCAGGCCGGGATGAACAGTTCTTGAACGATCTTAGGGATCACGCAATGAGCATCTTTGCCGGCGCTATGCTAATCAACGCATCCCCCAAGCCGCTCAAGCCAGTGACTGGTTTTCTTGTAGGATCGACTTGCTGGTACTTGCGCAGAAAAGCAATGAAGGGCTGCTTGCCTTTTGTGACAGAGAGATTGAACGCTACTGCCCGTTTCAAGGCTGACCCGAAGTGCGGGTGGACACCACCGGTAGGATTCCGCCCCTTGCATTAACGAGCTGCGCATCAACATACTTACCCGGTCCCAGAAAGATGGTCTCCAATGGCTTATCGATGAGTGCTACGCCGCAGCCGCAAAGGGAGATGCAGGGCAGTTGGAGCCGAAGCGAGTGGCGCATCGGCTCTTGTTGGTCAATGATATATCCCTTCATTCGACCAGCTTCACTGTGCAGAACGTCATCCTGGATCTCTTCAGCTCGGATCCGGCAATGGGGTATGTTGATGCTCTGCGAGACGAAGCTGCATCCGTGCTCGCCAAGTCTGGTGGTGTATGGACGCGCGATGCGGTGCGGGATTTGAAGCTCATCGATTCAATGATCCGTGAATCAATGAGGCTTAATCCGTTCGCCATTGTCGGACTTCCGCGAACAGTATGTATGCCAACAAGTATTAAAGGACTGGTATTAACGAAGTGCAGGTCGTTCACCCCGAAGGCATTCGTCTCCCAGTTTCCAACGTTCATGTGCCTCAAGGTACCATGATCGCGGTTCCAATGGAGCCAATCCACTATGACGAGAGTATCTATCCCCAAGCACGCAGCTTCAATGCGTTCCGGTTTGCAGACCCGAACAATGTGACTAGCATCGTCGACAACTTTGCAACCAAAGACGACCTTGAGGCTGCTAAAGCGGACACGAACGAGCGGAAAGGCAAGTCGACTGCTACGCTTGACGATGCTTTCCTCGGGTTCGGGTTCGGCCGACACGCCTGCCCTGGGCGATTCTTTGCCTTGAATGAGATGAAGGTCTTCATTGCGCACATGCTGTTGAACTATGACGTTGAGCACATGGCGGTTAGGCCGAAACCTTTGGATACTGTGTGGCTAAAACTTCCGTTGCATGGTGGGAAGATCCGGGTGCGACGCAGGCCGTCAAGTGTGTAGATAAAATAAAGATATCCTCTGTTGATCCTCATCCGGTGTAAATCCGACAGCCGTCGCTGTATCGATTCGAGCCTTTGCTACAGACGCCTGCCGGGCGAACATACTGGTTTGCGCTTCGTGTTCGATGTTGATGTCGAGATCTTCATGACGGCTCTTCCCAGGACAACGGCATACCTGCGCAGGGCCAAAAGTATGTCTCGGGCACTAATTTGTTCGTCGTCAATTCGTATGTCCCAAACTCCCGTTCGGGTAGATCGCGAGAGTATTTAGACGCCAGCTAATCTCCCTGGTCGCTTCCTCTCTCTTCGCGCTCGGGGGCGGTAGTACAGGAAGACCTCCTAATGCAGGATCGCTCATCGCAGGTCGGCCGACTTATGATGCGGGTGTGGGAGGGGTTCTTGTGTTCCTGATGAGCAGCGATCTGAATGACACCTAGGGCTAATGTTTAGCTGAATCGGCCCAGCAGCATGTATTCCTGAGAGAAACCGATAGTGCGTGGAGCGCTTGCAGAGGGGAGTTAGCGACGGATCTCTACACAGATCTCACAATCCGTGGCGTCGTGCTTGCTGCGATGTTGCTGTTTACGCGACTGCGGTACCTCCCAGAGACGCATGAGGCTAGAATCCTGGACAGTTTTGGGATGCTGTTCGGTCTTGGTCGCTACTTCCTGCTATCGTAGCTGATTTACCCAAGACAGACGTCGCTTCCTAGACGGAAACCTACAACTTGGTACGGACCTTCGAACAAGTCGGATACCACCATCGCTGTCACCGTGTAAAATAGTTCCTTTGATCAAAACCTTCAATTGAACTCGTCGCCATCGTTGCGCGCGCAACTGCGGAGCGAATGGGCACACGGCTTCGCGAGCCAGGCGGGCCTTGTACGTGAGATCATCGCAACTGGCATGTGGACCAAGATGACCGAGATGCGTCAGTGGCGTTTACGAGTATAGTGGCTGGGCTCAGCTTGAGGTATCAGTATCGTGTGTTGCTGGTTGAATTGTTGTTGGAGGAAGCGTCCGCCCCCTTAAGGGAAACCACGCTAACCTTGGAAGCCGCATGAGAGGATGCACGTGAGAGCGAAAGGGATAACCGCACGACAGCGTAGTCACATGTACAGATATCGCTCACAAGCCTTTGGGACTGCTATGAGCTTCTCAAACACTCCTGTACCAATTGCACGCGAGCCTGGAGACTGACCACGTGATTGGGTACTAGCGTGTAATGGATGCCCCGACCGGCAAGCTGCTTTCGGAACGCGTCGTCGATGCGCATCCACGCCTCCGTCCCGTCTGGCATCAATCGCGTCCCGTCGTCGGCAAGCCAACTACAGCCAGCTTCGCATAGCACCACAATGCCCGCCTTCATGCGCCGTTCGAGTTCCTTCCACTTTGCCGATGCGAGCATCTCGCCTGCCGCTCCTTCGCCCACGAACAGTTGCGCGTATATGATAGGATCGAGACCGGAGCGATCGGAGATATACCATGTGGTCGGCGGCGTGTCAAGACCGATGGCAGCCTGTTCGGCTTCGAATTGCGCGTCGAGGATGTGCTTCTGCAGTTGCAAGGATCGGGACGGCGATGCAGTGATGTCCTCGCGGCTGAAATGCTTGTCGTGTAACACTTTGCGCGCGACCTCTCGGATGATCACCGGCCTCGAGGCTACCTCTGTAACTGGAAGGGCTGTGTCACCTTGATGAAACGCGTCTTCGAGTGCGTTCACGAGCGTCGTCTTGCCGGTACATTGGGCGCCGATAATGTAAAGACAGCGACTGAGGGCTGCCTCATTCGCCATTATGTCTGTGGTGAGTGCTGGGGAAGAGTCAGAAGTCAAGGCAGACGCTGCTCTTACGGTAAGTCTTGTTTTGCCGCTTTGGGTAGTTCGGTGTAACGTCGCACAAGCAAACGCAATCCTTCACGAATCACGAAGACTTTCGTCTGTGTAGACCCCGCATCAAGCCACTCTCTTTCTGCAACACTGCGGCGCACTCCTCTCCATCACAACAATGAGCAGCTTGCGAACTTTTCGCGTCGTGCTCTCGCGTGATATCGATCCAGAGATCACATCATGGAATTACACAGTTGCCAACCTCCCGCAGGCCAGGCAGACAAACGCGGCTGGACTTGTCAAGTGCTTTTCCCTTGTTTCTTCGGGAACGGTGCAGGAGATCGTCCTGCGGTTTGAAAGCGCGCCCTCCAACCGTGTTACACGCAAAGAGCCTTTGGACAGACTCCTCCTCCTTTCGCTGGCGGACTTCCGCTTGCGTTGGCCTTCAAAGTCGCCAGATGACCCACCGCGCGTAGCCACTGGCAGAGAGAACGGCGATTACGTCACAAGACTACTCACCACTGGCGTTGTACTCAATGGGATTTACTACCACTTCTTTGGTCATTCAAACAGCCAAACGAAGTCCAGATCTTGCTTCATGTATGGCGCATCGAAAGAAGGCATCTCTGCCAAGATCGAAGCTATGGGTGATCTCTCGAAACTCAAGTCCGTAGGCAAGAAAGCAAAACGAATTGGGTTGCTTTTCTCTAGCGCAGAGGTCGCGCTTAATCTCTCCCCGGAACGCTGCAGAGACATCGACGACGTCAAACGCGATGATTACGTTTTCACCGACGGATGTGGTCTGATATCCCTTCAACTCGCTCGACAACTGGCCCAGAGACGCAACATAATATTTCGCAATCAGCGCTACTTACCGTCCGTATTCCAAATTCGATATCGTGGATACAAGGGCGTATTGACCTTAGACCCTACCCTTCAGGGTAAGGAACAGGTACAGTTTCGAGAATCTATGAGGAAGTTCAGGGATGCATCCGATCACAGTTTCGCCGTCGTAGACTATTCCAAGGTTAGATTTCCAAACCGTCTCTTGGTCTACTGAGCTGACTGGACTTAGCCTTACGTCTATGGTAGCCTAAACGATGAGGTGGTGGTGCTCTTGCATACGTTGGGTATTTCGGCGGATATCCTTCTCGACAAGCAGCAGCAGCATCTGCACTTCCTCAATAACGTTAGCCAAGGTTATCCTGGGGCAGCCTTCCAGTATCTCTCATACAGTGGCAGACTCGATCTAGCAGAGAGACTTCTATTAGAAGGCATTGGATCTGTCCACACGCTCCTAGGAAGGATGATTCGAGAAGAGTACACCAAGATGCTGAACAAACGAGACGAACAACGATGTCGGATTCTGATCCGCCGCTCACGGCTTCTCTTCGGTGTTTGCGACCCAAGTAGCAAGAATGGTCACCCGGGAAAGCTCAGAGAAGGTGAATGCTTTGTGCGGATAACTGATGTTGACGGGCGAGCGCATACCATCATTAACACCGAGGTGATGGTAACGCGAAATCCATGCCTGCATCCAGGCGATCTTCAGAAATTCAAGGCAGTAGATATCCCGGAGTTTGCTCATCTAGTCGACTGCATCGTGTTCTCAACTGAAGGGAGCAGGCCAAGCGCTGATCTCATGTCAGGTGGTGATCTCGATGGAGACAAATGTAAACCTCTCCTATGCATCTGTCTCGAACTCGCTAAAATATCTCTAGTCTTTGTGACTTGGGATCCAGATATCATTCCACGAACGATGGCACAGCCCGCCCAGTACCCAGGAGGCAAAGAACTTGTAACTTTCGGCGAGGTGACCGGTGACGCCCGAGCGGAGTACTTTGCCCGATACACCAGTGCGTCCCTGGGGAAAGTCAAAAATCTCTACATGAGATGGGCGCGCCTCGGTCATGCCATGAGCCCGCAATGTCAACAACTCAATCGGTTGTTTTCTCAATGCGTCGATGGAAACCACATCCGGATTCCTGACGACCTCAAGGAATTCACGAAGTTAGAGGATCCGTCTGAACCTAAACATACCGTCGCTCCCTTCATCTTGGATGTTCTGCATGATGCTTGCACCCAGCTCATTCTTCAGGCTGACAACACACGACCCAACGACTGCGATGAGGTCGACGTGATGGAGCTCTTCCTCGCACGAGACAAGATGGCGATGTCTGAATTCGAATTACTGCATCTTCTACTGCGCTGGTGTAAGCATAGCGGTGAAGACATCCTCGAATACAGTCACCATCTCGATTTCAGTGCTTTGAGCGATGAGCAGCAAATATGGGTTCTTAGCTGCCTTCCACCGTCTGCAACTGCGCCGAGTTTGGTACGGAACGGGCTTCTCCAGTCAGAACTCGTCACGCCTGACGAGGTGAGCAAGTTTCGCTTAGATCAGCCGCACCTGCACTGGAAGCCGGTCTTCAGATCGTCCACCGACCGTATGCAAAGATTCTTGCCTACCGTCTCTCAGGCCTTGGAAATCTTCCACAAGAAACTCTTCATCTTGACGGTGGATGAACGTCTGAGCGTTGCGATATACGTACCAAAAAAGATTGAAAGAGCAAGCGAAGTTCAAGTCGACACCGGCGTCGTAGTCTTCGCTTTCCCCCACTCACAAGGCCTACATTCACCAAACTACAAAATGCTACCAACCAAGGTCAATTACAGGCTGTTTTGCGATGAGCATATGTTTCAATTGTACGAACGTCAGCGAAGTAACACATGGATCTTTCTGAGGCGTCCTCAGGCTGACGATTCGCTCTACCGAAATGAGAAAAACAAAGGAGACAAACGCAGAGCACGCGAGACTACTGTGCGCGACGGAGTCAACTTTGACTGCAAAGCTAGCATTGCTTTGGACAAAGTTGGTCGAGGACTTCAGCAGCATATCGGCAAGGTGCAGCAAAATGGGGTATTGGGTGCGGTAGGTTGACGCTCTCTATGCCGGACTTATACAGTTGCCGTGATACTGATAACATTTAGGAAATATATGTCATCAGCAACAGAGACATCAACTCAATGCGGGTGCTTGACGAGTGGCTTACCTTCGTCGACACTGATGAAGTCTTACCGCTATTTGAGAAACCGAACAAGAACTACGATATTCCCAGATTGAGTTCTAAAGACTGGGCAGACTACCCCGAGACAGTAGTTGCCGTGGTTCGCGACAAAGACTTTGCTCACCTCCAAGAACTGAAGTCTGTGTTAGACCTGTCGACCATCCTTGGTTTGCTCAACGACCATGGTGAAAAGAAGATGCTTTTGGACACGTTCTCGCATGTTCTTGCTTTTGAAGCAAGCTCCGCCCTCTCGCTAGACCGGACGATCGTAGCGTCGACTCTCCTCGACTTCCTACCGAATGCGGTGTACCTGATACCCGCATTCTTCCACTCTCAAACGTGGGAGACTCACAAGTCCTCGTTGGACGAACACCTTATCCATATGGCCTTTAGTCTACTGAGACATCTCGTCCTTTTGTCGGAGGACATGGGTACTTTCATCCGGCGTCCAATCCAAATCCTGTTGCAAGAACTGAAGTGCATCTCGTTGAGAGAGTTCGCCGACATCGTGGAGCTCATTTCGCTTACGGTCCGCTCTTCCGAAACGGCCTTGGATCTTCTTCTTGGGGTGTTAGAGCCTGAAAGCTCGCGGCTTCTGGTAGGACGGCCGACTGCAATTCGGCAATTCACGTCATCGTTGTTCGGCATCGCGCTTGACCATGTAGATGAAGCGTCTAGTGCTCGCGAGCAAAAGTCGCGAGAGTTTCTCGAGCTGCGCCTGGATGGCCATAGCGACGGCTGCGCAATGGTCAAGGGCACACTTCGTATCGATTCTTCCTTGAATGGATTGCTCAAAGCTGGCGATCACGTTCGTCTTACAGCATCCGATCCACCGCAGAATGATGTTATCGCAAGGCTCTTCTCGATGGATGCTGTTGTGTCATCAGCTGAACCAGGCAAGGTTGCATTTCGGTGTCTTCATCATCCGCCGTCGTACCTTGGCAAGTGCGCCTGGAGTGTTACGCAGTGTGGATCTTTTGTTACAAGCAAGACCTCTTTCGACGCTGTAACTGCTTTCTACACCGAGCGCGAAACCTGTAGTGCCATCTACGCGATGCTTCTCGGTCTTCCTCCGTCAAAACAAGATAAGTCGATTGGCATCGAGCTACCGGTGACCGTCGCCCCATCACTGAACGGAAGTCAGAACGCAGCGCTCGCTGCTTCGATGAAACATTCATTGACGTTCATCTGGGGCCCTCCGGGTACAGGAAAGACTCATACAATTGTCGTCATTATTACCCAGCTGCTGGAAAAACTACCCAAATTACGATTCCTCGTTACTGCGCCAACGCATAATGCAGTGGATAACATGCTGAGGAGGTTCGTGGCCTACCCTGAAGCGAAGAATGGTGGCATTGTCCCTGTTCGGGTATCGACGCAGGTAAGTGTGGTTACCTCACACACATTTAATAATTATACTCACATCATAACAAGCTTTCCAAAGTCGCTCAGGACTTACGTACGTACACGTGTGACGCCATGGTCGGCAAAGACCTAAGCGCGAACTTCCCAGCTCGGCGTAAGGCGCAGAAGAGGATCAGAGAGGCCCGTCTCGTGTTTACTACGTGCACTGGAGCTGCGTTAGGTTTGCTTCGTAACGAGGCTTTCGATGTCGTTATCATTGACGAAGCCTCACAGCTTACTGAGCCCGCAACCCTGGTGCCTCTTGTCAAAGGGTGTTCGCTTGCGATATTAGTTGGAGACCATGTCCAGCTTCGCGCGACGGTTCAACAAACTGCTGTGGTAACCGGTTATGACGTCTCACTCTTTGAACGCCATTATAATCTAGCACCAAGAGAAGGCGTCGCAAAAGTCATGCTCGACATGCAATATCGCATGCACCGCTCCATCTGCGATTTCAGCTCCTCCGAGTTCTACGACAGTAAACTCCATACTGCTGTAGCTGACAACGCGCGTCCACTGCCTCCCTCGCTCTTTCCCTGGCCCAAGACAAATCGTATGGTTTGGGTTGAATGCGCTGCACCTGAAGACCTTTTCCAGCAATCCAAGTCGAATGCTGGCCAAGGCGACGTCTGCAAACGTATCATCCAGCTTCTGAAGGCATCACCGGCATCTAGTGGCTCGACTGCAATCCCAAAGGACTCCATCGAAACCCCTACTATCGCAATATTGACACCGTACACTCGTCAGAAGACTCTGCTTACAACAACAATTCCGAATGCTGAAGTCTACTCCGTCGATAGCTTCCAGGGTCGTGAGGCTGACGTCGTCGTGTTTGTAACCGTTCGGTGCAACGCTCATTACGCTTTGGGATTTCTGGATGACATGCGACGGCTGAATGTGGTCATGACAAGGGCGAAAGCTGGTGTTGTGTTGGTTGGGCACAAAAACACGTTGACAGGTGTAGGGGCAGCGGAGACTGTAGACGATAGCAAGCTGGTTTGGAGGAGATTACTAGAGCGGTGCGAGGTTGTGGAGTTGCCAGCTCAGGCCGAGGACAGTGGTTCCACTCACTGATGTACAGTGTCGCACATCACTTTGTCCTCCATATCGGAAGCCTCAGTCTCGGATCATAGCCGCCGACCGCTATTTTCGGGACTGTTACCTGCCAAGTTGCAAATGCTCATGACTTGCACGCGATGCAGCAATGCACTTCTAATGCATCCATTACATAAGGCAATTCGAGACGACCCACAATGGCAGCCGGGAACCCGACGCGGCATCGGCAATCATGCCGGCCAAACATGCCGTTCCATTCCCATTGCCGCAACCAAGTTCACCCGTGTTGCAACGACCACCTCATCCCCGTGCCGCGCCTCAACTTTGAGCCTGATGCTTCTCTATGCCTGCACTTTGTTCAAGCATGCGAATCCTTCCAAGTGTTGACCCGGCTTGTCTTTGCAAGGTCCCAGTCCCGACGGGACGAATCATCAGAGTACTACCAAGGCCCCATATTACTTCTATCTTCGTGTGTCACAAGGACTATAACTCGGCCTCGTCTGCTCGGTGACATCCTCGTACTCGACTGTCAAGTGTTGCGTTCGCGTAATGCCAGAGTTTGGCTCCACTTTACTCTCCTCGCTACCATTCCGAAAGCCCGGGCTCAAGATACTGTCCTGGCTATCGTGGCCCAGGGTTGTTTCAGATACGCCCGACTTCCCATGCTGCTTGGCTGATCGAAGAGTCTTGCTCCCGATCGTAGCGAGCTTCACACCCGACCGACTACGCGATCTGTATCCACTTGGACCTTGCTCACCGCGTGAGCTACCAAAGATCCCCCGGCCAAAGATGCGGTCGAATAATGGCTGCAAAGTCGGTATGCAGGCGCCGATGATGATAGAGTTTCCCTCGATACTGGTCCAGATAGTGATGTCGGCCGTATCGTCTGTATCGCGTTATTAGCATGGCTGATTCAACACCGAATGCGAGTCTACTCACAGCTGAAGTCAGGGCTCGCAAGCGCTGGAAGTCGAGTCGACTTGTACACAGCTACGGCTGCCGCACTGTTTAAGTGTGAGCGGAAGTTCCAAGACAAGCATACGCAAGCTTACATAGAACCCAGTCCCAGCGCGGCACTCAAGGCTATCTTCTTCTTGAGGTTGATTTGTAGTCCATACAGAACAACGGCGGGATATATCGCGAGGTAGAGGTCCACGACGGCGGAGATGGCTCCGCGACGGTCAGTCAAGTACTAGATTTGCTGGCTGTGAACTTACTTCCCGCTACGATGGCGTAGTAGATCAGGATCCATGGGCTCCAGCAAGTACCCTGAACGGAGAAGTCCCACTGCGACCGAGACGGCGTACACTGTGCGAAGATGATGATGACACAGCCAAACAGAATCAGCAAACAGCCACCGGTCATAGCCCACAGGAATATCCTATGTTTCCGGCTAGGGTTGGTGATTCTCGTCAGGAGAGCGACCACGGCCAGCTTGGGGATTCCAAACGAGAATATACCGGGAGGGAAGCCCGCGAGGGTGTACAATATAGCACCGGACCTTTGCTCGTCGGTGAGCACGGAGAAATGTCGTCCGTTTCCAGCTTGTACGGCTGCTATCGTAAGGCCAAGCATGATGTAGCCACATATCTACACGACGCGTCAGCATGCTGAGCCAGTGAGAGAATTATGAAGAAAGTACTCACCATCGACACTATGATCAGCCAGTCGTCGAGGCCTAGTCTTGATAGAATTTTGACTCTAACATAGAGTCTGGCCGCAACGAAAACAGTCGCTACCGTCGTCAACGAGATGCATACTGCCAAAACCGTTGGACCCTTAGTTTGTTGGGCAAAGCCTTCGGAGAGATCTTGCGATACTGCCATATTGCAACAAGGCTAGGTGGGGAACCAGATGATGAGGAAGAAGTTACAGTGCTGGAGCCTAGGTTCAGTTTGATATAAGCTCGACTGGACATCAGACTCTCTGCTTATCCCCTGCGCATGCCTGCAAAAGCATTATCGCCCTCTGACCACCAACACCAGGGGTCGTAAGAGTTCGTGCGCAGTTTCGTCATGTAGCGATGCGGCTTAGACTCGGGAGCTTTCAGAAGTTCGCACCGCCCCTGGTGCCGGGCATGGTTTCCGGAACGACTGTACTTTTTCAGAAAGATGACGATCGTGTGTCAGTCTACGGACTATCTTCTGAAACTGGGAAGCGCGAGAGTAATCATTTCCATGCAGCGCGGGCGACGCCAGGCCCACACGTGCTCGCACGTACATCGGATGCATAGGCCCGTCAAAAGAATCGACTGAACGGGTGGCCCAACCCAATCATAGCCATTCCGGTCAGAAATATCTTCTAATAGACTGCATACAGCCTTGAAGTAAGGTCTACGAAAGCAGTTCAGATATGCATTCGCGCATGGGTTTATCTGACTTCCGGTGGACAAGGTATCTGCTCCTGTCGCCAACTTGCTCAGCCAGCGGTAAGCAGACGTCCTGCCAATGACAGGGATGAAGGACGTTGTCATGCAGCCCGCTCGACTCATCGATTGATCAACGGGCCTTCCGTCTGCGGGAGTCGATAACATAATCTTGGGAAGCAACAAGAGAAGCAACTAGTATGGCAATCTGTGTTGCCTTGGGGTTTCCGATCTTTTCATTCTATACTCATGGAGACTACGCCGCATCTGCCCACATACATCCTTCACATCCTTCCACAGTGTGCGTCTCACAGCAGCTGTAGGATCATCGATGGAGTGACTATTTGTGGTGCCTGGATGAGCTGATTGGTCTCCACTTAGCGACGGTTGCGTTGCCGATGCCGCACTAATGTGGCTGTTTAGCCGGCTTGCCGCTCAGCCGCTCTTTCGGGTCCAAAGCCACGGGCCGTGTGGGGGTTTCGGCCTGCCACTGACTCTTTTCGAGCCCCATTCCCCACACTCACGCCACTCGCGACAATGGTTCCCCTTTACAAGGGATCGCGACATTCTATTGGTGTTTGTCTCATTCCATCTTGAAGCTCATGGAATGATCAGAACGTTCCAATGAGTAAGTCGAGCGATGGGATATTAGATTGCAACTGCAAGCCTGCTCTCTTTACGGAGGATCACCTTGACAAATGTTGGTTATAGCTGATCAGAGGTCCTTCAAGTGGGGTCCGTTCTCCAGCATGCCATCATTCGAGTGCCAAGACGGACGATGGTATTGAAGTGGATGTCAGGCCCACCGACTTGGGTGTGAATGCTCCGCGGATTCATCGTCCTTGAGTTGAAGCTTGTCATGCTGCGCCGTTTTCCGCCTCAGGGTATTCTTCTCGCCTGCTGTTGCCAAAACATCCTTCCCGTCTGATGACACGCCGCCATGAGTCGCAAGCCGCTGACCACACCGGCAATGCTGCTGTCCATCTCTGTGGAGACTCGGGAGTTGGACTGAAGGAATTGACTTGCAGTTATAAGGAAGCAACGTATCAGCTGTACATCCAGCAGTGCCGTGAATCCTTTCACCTTCGACCCGTTTTACCGCCCAATTACTTTCCTCTTACCCCTTGCTCGTTACTTTTGAACGTGTCAGAACTTTGCAAACATGCTGGTCGATCTCGGCATTGCTGTGCGTGCGAACGACCCAAGCGCCGTTCCATGCCTACTGGAGAAGCTGTCAGAATTCGGGGGCAAACCCTCTGTTGATCACAATGACACTCGCATGGCAATGCTTTCGCAGGCTAAAGCGCTCGTCAGGGCGCTGCAGACTCCCCGTGAGACCATGATCGAGCAGAACTGGGCCCAGGTATGTGCTAGATCTTTGTAGAGTTTTCTGTATCTAAGTGGTGTCACTAGCCCGGCTGCCATACCGCCATCACCACCTGCTATAATGCAGGTGTGTTTGGTGTACTTGGAGACAAGCCAATGAAGGTGGACGACATTGCGAACAAGCTTGGAAAGCCTCGCGAACTGTTGGGTAAGCTTGTATACTAGCGAATCGTTCCGCGACCTCGCTTACACTGGTAGCTCGCTTGATGAGGCACATTGCAGCCATGGGTTACATCACGGAGACCGACAGTGATGAATACATGGCGACAAACTTCTCGAAGGCCTTGACTATCCCTATCATTGGAGATGGCTATCCAGCCCTGTAAGTGTTCTCGGTGCTTGAGACGTTGCTAAACTGAGTACGGTGCTGATCAAATCAGTGGCGGTGGAGCCCACCAGTCTTGCAGCAAGTTCTCGGAGTACTTGCAGAAGAACGACTACCAGCTCACCTCAGACATAACCAATGGGCCGTATCAGTATGCTTTCAATACTGAGCTTGACATGTTCCGGTATCTGGATACACATCCGCCCCTGGGTCAGCAATTCAACAACCACATGGGTGGCTATCGCCAGGGTCGACCAAGTTGGATGGACTCGAACTTCTACCCTGTGCAGGAGCAGCTAATAGACGGTATGGCCAACTCTAAAGACGCCGTCCTGTTAGTAGACATCGGCGGCGGTTACGGTCAGGACATCCAAGAATTCAGGTATGCTGCCACAAGGCCTAGTCCAGATTCGTATGCTTACGGCACATTTAGATCAAAGTATCCTCAGGTACCTGGTCGTCTTGTGCTTCAAGATCGACCCTCCGTTATTGATGGGATCGAGCGACTGGATCCCAGCATCGAACGTATGGAGTATGACTTTCACACCAAGCAACCATTGGAAGGTACGTCTGGCAGCTGCAGAGTTACCCGTCAGACGCTAATCGACTCCCAGCGGCGAAAGCATACTACATGCACTCCGTGTTGCACGACTGGCCCGACGACGTGTGCAAGAGCATCTTGAAGCAAGTTGCTGGCGCCATGAAGAAAGGCTACAGCAAGCTTCTTATCAACGAAAACGTCATTCCGGACAAGGGCGCGGACTGGCAAGCCACTGCTTTGGATATGATGATGATCACCCTTTTCTCTTCGAAAGAGCGTACGTACTCGCAATGGAGCCAGCTGTTGGAGTCGCCGGAACTTGGATTGAAGATCGTTCGTGTCTGGACCGTTAAGCACTCGCAAGAGAGCTTGATCGAATGCGAGCTAGTTTGAGTCTTCATCGGCGGAGATGAAATCGCTTCAGAAGCTTGTAAAAAGAATAAAAGTCGTATACCTTACCTCCCTTCTGCTAAGTTTCGTTGCTTTGAGGTTGCCGACGTAGGCCGAAGCGGTGACCTATCGACAGTAAAGCGGTGACCTATCGAATTCACTATCTCGGACTAGTTCATGTATTAAGGTAAGCATTGTGCCTTCCAACTCTCCAGATCGTAATTTCCACTGCGAAACCTCTTCGATAACCCACCTTAACAACCGACGACTTCACCATGGCGTGCGGAGGAGGTTGCTGTGGCCCCAAGAATGCGGCAGCGGCATCTACCGCGAATTCAGATGTCGCTTTTGCAGCCACCGTTGAGCAGTCAACAGAGACATCGAGCAGCGCGACGGCGACTAGCCAGCCCGGAGTGAATGCAACACTCGCTTCTTCTAGTTCTGAGCCTACTGCCTCTTGCGCTAGCGTCAACAACCTCGAGGATGCGACAACAAAGCCAAAGAGTCCATGCTGCTCATCATCAACTCCGCAGTCAAAAGAAGCGAAAGCACCTTGTGCTTCGACACAGCCAGCGGAAGAGGCCAAGCCGATCATGTCGTGCTGCTCAACATCGGCACCTGAGAACACAACGTCATCCAGCTCATGCTGTGAACCATCAGTTCTTCAAGATCCGAAAGCATCCAAGTCTTGCTGCTCTTCATCAGCGCCCGAAGAGCAAAAGCCGACAGACTCCTGCGGATCACCATCGGAAATTGTAGCCTCGAAGCCGAAGGGCTCATGTTGCTCATCGTCTACGCCGGTGAAATCCGAGACGGGAGGGTGTGGCAGCAGCAGCTCGAACAAAACGGTCACACCAACTTCCTGCATTGGCAAGACCAAAGATGACTGCTGCGCGAATGATAGCAAAAGCATCTCTGGGGAAACCTGTACCAGCAGCTGTTGCGCAATCGAGAACACTGACGGTGTGAAGACTGCCATATCCCCACCAAAGTCCTCCTGCTGTACATCGGCACCCAAGGAGTGTTCAAACCCTCAACCAACATCTTGCTGTCCCCCGAAAGACGCGTCGAAATGTTGCAGCAACAAGAAAGCCGCTGTGGTGAACACCACCGAGATAGCAGACGACAACACCGACATCGAAAAAGGCGGCGTCGCACGCGAACACATCGCCATCAGCGTCTCAGGCATGACCTGCACAGGATGCGAGACAAAACTCCAGCGAACCCTCGGCAGTCTGAACTACGTCAGCAAACTGCAGACCAGCCTCGTCCTCGCGCGCGTCGAGCTAGACATCAACACCAACCTCGCGACCGCCGACGATGTCGTCAAACACCTGCACCGCACAACCGAATTCAAATGCGAGATTGTGTCGAATCAAGGCTGTAGTCTGGATCTCGTCTGCTCGGGCGACCCTTCAGCTTTGGTCAATGGGCAGTGGCCGGAGGGAGTGCTGGATGTGCGTCGCCTGGGCAAACAAACTATACGCGTGGACTATGATGCGAAGATAATAGGGGCGAGGGATTTGATGAGCGACGAGTGGAGCCAGTCGCTGCAACTCGCACCACCG